CCAGGTCAGGTTGTTGCACATTTGACACCACATATTCAACCACAGACGAACCTTTCCATTTTGTGGAAATTACTGAGCGCCGCTTGAGATAACCACTGACCTGACTTTGTTGTAAAATGTTTAGTGTTAATAGTCATCCTGGCAGAACGGATTATTTATTTCGTATAAAAACATAAATATTAACTGGGCATACAAGGTTTGTGTGTAAGCATAGATATGTTAATTATAGATATTGTCTTGTACAAGTTACATCTGATAGTTAGATATAATCATGACAGTTATGTGCACATTTAAACATTATCTGAATTCATAGTTACAATACTGTTCTTATATAATCAAAAACTTGTGATTCAGTTACGCATTGACTGGATTTTCTACGTCATTTTTAACTGCTTTGCAACATTATTTCTTCATTTTTTAACTGAGTTACAACATTATTATTATATGTTAGAAGTTGACGACAGAATTCTTGAATCTACCGATCAGCGCTACTAGTCCGGCCTGATGTGAAACGTCTGTATGATTATTACCTGGATGTATTGTGTCGAGTCGAGACATAGTGGAATCGTTATGATCATGATTGGCTCCAGTATAAAAAGGCCATTCTAGAAGCCAAGTTGTACAGCTGGAGGGCGTTTTGCACAAACAATAAAAATCCCTATGCGGTATTGCATAAAATCGCAACGAATAAGGTCTTTGCCCCTCTAATTCACAAGGTCTACATAGACGGCACCAATAATCCGCAACCGACAGAGGAGCACAGGAGCACTATCGCGGCCACACTCACCAAGATTCTTGATGCAGTCTTTCAAGACGACAATACATTGGATGCTTCCAATCCAGAACATCCAGCTTATCTTCTACACTCCACAACAGAAGATGACGTGTCATTCACGCAGCCTGAAGTCTGCGCTGATTTGCGAAATCTACCGAGAAACAAAGCCCCAGGGCCCGATTCGTTAGACTACAACATTGTCAAGGCGATGCATCAGGCAAAACCAAAGTTTCTTAAAAATTTTTACAATAAATTGCTCCAACTGCGTTATTTTCCCAAGCCCTTTAAGACAGAGCAAGTTATTCTTTTCCAAAAGTAAGAAACGGACCCTAACGATCCAGCCTCATTCCGGCCCATCTGTCTGCTGCCCGCCATAGGGAAAATTTATGAGAAACTTTTAGTTCAGAGAATAAAGCAGTACTTGGAGATTAAGGGTGAGATCACGGACTCTCAGTATGGTTTTCGAGAGCAGCGCTCAACTATCCAAGCTCTTAGTGCCATACAAAAGGGAATCTATGACGCGTATGACTCTAACAACCATGTAGCCGTACTCAGTCTGGATCTGAAAAGTACGTTCGATTCCCTGTGGTGGCCAGCAATCCTGGAAGCACTTCACGACGCTCAGATCCCTGATAATCTACTGCAGGTGTGCAAATGTTATCTCTCTGATCGCACTCTTGTAACAGTGCATGACGGATGAGTTGTTGAGAGAAAGCAGACCAGGGGTTGCCCTCAGGGTTCATGTGCAGGTCCTGACCTATGGAATGCAACTTTTAATTCCATTCTCAAAGCACTGTGGCCAACCAACACCAAGGTGATTGCTTTTGCTGATGATGCGACATTTATCATCAGAGGCAAATCGAGAGACCAGCTGGAAAGTAACAGTAATGAGACCATAGCAAAATTTGTACGGCTCTGTGAAGGCAAGAAACTCACCATCTCGGAACAAAAGTCAAAGTATTTGATCGTACACAAACCAGGTCAACTCTTGCAAGAAATCCAGTTTTGAAACTAAAGGGCCGTACAATCAAACGAACTCGGGAACTAAAACTGCTGGGGCTTATAATTGATGAAAAGCTCTCCTGGCTGCCTCATCTCAGAGCAGTCCGCGCGAGGACACACGCATTTGCAAATACCTTAAAGAGGCTTCAAGGCTCAGACTGGGGTCTTAGAACACATATCCTAAAAATCCTCTATCCGTCCGTCGTGCAAAAAATGGCCCTCTATGGAGCGGCAATCTGGACAATTCCAATGAACGAAAGGAAAAGGAAATTGCTTAGTAGTATACAACGCCCCTTGGCTCTGGCTATTACAAAAGGATACCGTACAACATCGACAGCGGCAGCCACAATACTGGCGGGACTTTTGCCATTACATATTAGAGCAGCACAAGAAGCAGCAGTAATGACTGTTCTCCAATTACATCTCTATACTACTTTTGGACCGTTATGCTATAACCCAGAGGAGTATGAAACAAAACGTCTCATAAATGCAACCCATCCTTCACACCATGGAAAAGGGGTTGTAGCACCCACCACCTCTCAGCACAGCCTCCATGAAAAAATAAGGCCAGTAAATATCATCCATTCGTCTAACTACGGAAAAGGAGTCTCGGCCCACACATCATGGAAAGATGACTCTGACATAAAGGATCATTATTACGTTTATACGGATGGTTCAAAAGTTGACGGACAAGTAGGCTGTGGCCTTATAGTAACTAAGAACAAGGAAACGTTGATAACATGCAAAGGTCATATGGAACAGAATAATTTAGTTTTCCAGGCTGAAGCAATTGCGATTCGTCAAAGCTATCGAGTTAAAAATCCCCACAGTAGGATCCACTATTAATATTCTTTACAGACAGCCTCTCGGTCAATATATGCCTTACGGAATCTCAGACATACCTTCTCCTATCATAGCGGAGATTCAGGACATGCTGAAGGATCGTTCGTCCGACATTGAATATCCTCATATCTTGGATAAAGGCGCATGCCGACATTCAAGGTAATGAGGAAGCCGACAGGCTAGCAAAAGAAGCAGCTCACAATATAGATGCACAATGCGTAATTACCAAACTCCCGTGGTCTCACCTTAAAAAAGTGACAAGGACAGCAGCTCAGCACCAGTGGCAATGGGAATGGGACTCTACCGAACAAAGCAGGAAGACCTATGAATATTACTATAAAGTTTCGCTCGATCGTCTCGAGTCATCCCCACAAATAACGAGATTTGTGACGGGTCACGGGCTTTTCCCCTCCTATTACTATGAGAGAGGAATTGCAAATACCGAAAGTTGTGTCTGTGGAGCCATTGGTAAACCAGACCATTACTTGACCCAATGCCCTCTAACCGCACAGTGGCATGTGCAGCTTCCGGAACAGGCAACTTCTCATAAGCCGTTATCTGATCAAACAACCAGCATTTCGCATCAAAATATGCAAGATAATGCAGAAACTGGAGGAATTGGGAACATATTTGTGCAGTGTGGAGTAGTTCCCTGTCAATTTCTCTTCTATCTTTTTATTTATTTATTTATTATTATTATTATTTTTATTTTTATTGTATATATTATGAAACATGTATGTATTACGGCCCACTGTATATATTCTGAAACATGTATGTATTACGGCCCACTGTATATATTCTGAAACATGTATGTACTATGGCCAATGAAAATTATTATGAACTATATGTATGTATTATGTAAGAGGCTCAATATATTATGTACTATGTAAGCATGTATATGTATGAACTACGTATGTAAGCATGTATATGTATGAACCATGTAAGCAAGTATTATGAAAGATCTATGTATTATGAACTACTTGTATATAAGCATGTACTATGAACTATGTAAGCATGTATACAGGACCAATGTATGCCCTTATAGGCCCCATGAGGTGTTGCCCCGGATAGTTGCGGAACCTGGACTAGACCCGAATAGTCTTATTAAGCCGCACGGGTGTCCAGATTCTGCTCTCAACTCAACTCAACTCATGTGTGAGATTATCACAGAAGGTCCTCTTCTGCCGTATGAGTATCTACAATTTATGATGAAGATAATTTTGTAATTTCTCTCCTAGGCTACAAACTATGTCAGAATCTAAATGCTATTAAGCGTTCAGTTGTAGCCAGAAATAAACAAATTTATAATACTTTACACACAAACATATATATTTTTATTTATGCTTCGAAAAAAATTAATAAATGAGAGAAAGAGACAGGTTGTCAGTATTTATTATCAAGTTTTGTTTCGCTTGGAAAGATTTCTCTGAATATTTAGAAAGATTTTCATAATTTTGTTTAAAATCTTTAGTTTAAATTAACGTGATCAATTAAACGTGTTAGAAATATTTGAAATGAATATCAGTCTGGAAATGCAATGCTTAACTGTCAGTCTATTTGAATTACTAGAACTAGTGCCAAACTTAAATATCAGTTTAATTTTTTCTTGATTATTATTATTGTTTATGTATATTTTGATAAATATTTAGTAAGAATTTTTTTTATTTTGAATTTAAAAATATTCTTTTTGTTAAAAATAAATCTGGCTTGTCAGCGATTTTAAGATTGGGCACTGGGCCTGTATGCTGTTGAAGCTTGAGCCACTAGTGTATCCAACGAAAAGTGCTTCACTCATGAAAGGTTGGTAGTATCGTTACTAAAATATTTTAAATTACAGTAACAATACTTTGTGTTTTTATTGTTTATATTTTGTCACAATTAAATTTCGAACAAATGTCAAGAGCGTTAGGAATAGATTCTCTCTATTCTATAAATACGTCGCATAATAGATGTTGTTATTATCATTCAGTTGGTTCCTACAACATGACTAAATTTATGCATCACCTTAGAGTTTCAACAACATTTATAAGAAATCAAGAAAGCTAGGATATAAATGTTGAAACCAAAGTTAATAATATAATTTATTAACTAGAAAATATCATTCGAAAAATGAAGAAATAAATAAATCTTAAAACTTGCTTTACTATTTAAAACTTGCTTTGATAGGAAACTGAATCATTTAATAAAATTAACAATTAAGTAACTTCAAGAGTTACTTAATTTGACAGCTGATAAAAATTTTATACATTTTCTAGAAGTACGAAAGAAGCTTAACATAGAATTCAGTCATCTGAAATTTAAGCAACAGGATTCGTAACACGGAATCACTGTTCCATAGAATGCATCCTAAATCTGAAGGAAATTACACAAATCTGCTTACCGATTACGTTGAGTTTGACCAAACGGTTTAATGTTCTACCCCTTTTATAATCGATCCTGCATCTGTACTCTCCTTCATCGTCTTCTTCGACCGGATCTAATTTCAAATGAGCGGATCCCCATTTACTGGCATTGAAATAGGCTCTAGAACCCAACACGTGGCTGGAGAAGTGCTTAGCTTCATTAGGCACACTCCTCGAATCAACTGTATAGATGGGATTCGGCAGGTCCAGCCTGTACCATAGCACTAAAGATATGGAATCATCACTGGAAGGAGGGCTGAGATTACAAGGCAAGAAAACCGTAGAACCTATCACGGCGTGTAGTTCCGGGTATTCTGCAAGAATAGAATGCAAAATCAGTATAATATATTTTAACAACCTGACATTCAATAAATGAAAGTATCACAATATAAATGCATAATTTATCTTACAAAGCCCTTTTTTCAACTGTAGGTTATGAATAAAGGTTGTGTTTTAATCAAATTTATATAATTATACTTTACATAATAGATGAATATGATTTATTGAAAAATCAAGTGTTGTAAGAGGTGCTATATATAATACTGGTTTAAAAAGTAATTTGGAGTCATTAAGCATGAGTATTATTGAAAGTTTATAAGCTATTAAATATATATTGTTTTTTATCCACATTGAAGACACCAAAATTGCATTTTAAAATCTTTGACTACTTGAAAATAGCAATGAAACTGTATGCCTTTTATCACAATATCCAATGCATTAAAAGTTTTATCGTACAAAGTTATAAATTCGTCAAAAGCAAAATCAACACCCATGAATATTTTTTGTCCTATATACTAGCCTTTATATCCAGAACTGTAACTATGTACAGTAAATAAAATGCTCTGCCGACAACTTATATTGAACCTAAGGCAGTTAGTTATGAAATGCATTAGATAGCTAAATCTAAAAATCCGCAGTAAATGTTTTAATATCATTTAAACTGAAATCAAAAGGTAATTATGAAAATAAACTGATTTTGGAATAAAACACTTTGTGTAAAATATCCTACATTTCGAAAGCTTTCTGAAAAATAGATATTATATTGCAGAACAGGGAACTGAATCGTATTTTAAAGTCTTTTCGACAAAATACGCAAAAATATAATAAGGAAATAAAATGTTCTGGAAGTATTTTTATACTCTCACGATAATATTTTACACATAATAAGAAGTATCTACTTTTACTATGATGTAATTAGGGTAACAAATAATAGAAACGATGACATTAATGTATGTAAAATACTTACAGAAAAATGAAAACTCAATAGAGATAGCAAAATGTATTTTTTAAGATTTTTTGCGTTTGGATATCAGACAACTGTCATAAATTCCAAAACATTTTATTCGGTTATTTATCACATCGCTTTCATATTGTAATATTTTACACACAAGTAAAATAAAACGAAATCGATTTCAAGTATTGAACTCTGAATATTTTACTCAAAGTCTTAAAAATTTGATTTTTTTTAGATTCCAAAACTTCTTTCCATTTATTAAATCTTAGATATAAGAATCCTTTAATATATAATGAGTCCATTCCAATATAATATTTCTGATGATTTCTTTAAAATTTTATGCACCACATTACGTCCAATTCCTCTTCGACTTTTGATGAAAAGAATATTTTCGTTTACGTTTCTGTGGAAATCCATATTGCGACTTAAAGACTAGTTTGCCTTTAGAGGTAGGAAAAAAAGTATTTTTTCCTTTTAACTTCATTTCTTGAGACCATATCGCTGAAGCGTACAAATCCCCAAAATGGATTTTGTCCTAAATCATATTACGATTCGTATCTCTTATGTGAGCTGAAACTTCTCTGCTCGGGTTTCAGTTTCTTTCTCTATATATAAACCGACATTTTGAAAAGAAAAAAAAAAGCATGACTTATCGCAGTTAATCTGCGTCTCCCACGAAATAGTTGCAACTAGGGACAGAAGTAGATTCTGAGATAAGGTAAAATCAGGAATGCGAGTTTTCTAGTCTTTCTTTACAGAAAAAAAATGTATTTTCGTTATACACGAAGAATGAAAAAACGAAAGAGAGAATGAGAGATAGTAAAAATTCATTCCTTATATTATAAAGATAGAAGCTTGAGAATTTAATAATTTCTTTCTTGATTGTTGCGGAGATTACTTTCGTCGCTTGTAAATCATGGGATACGAAAGACCTTTTTTAATGAGAATCGAAGAATGGGTGACGTCTCTTCAATAAAATGTGATAACAGTAATGCTCGTGTTTATGAAAGTTCTTTTTAAAGAAAGAAACGTTTAAATTGAATATCATGAAAGTTCACTGAATATTGTGTATTTATGCATATATAGAGATGGAAAACTTGAATCAAGCTACGACGCGAAAGGCGTCACTCCAGATATATCAAGTACTAGTAACAATTATAATCTATATTTAGTTCAGCACAGTTTTGTTTTCGTATGAACAAAACTTACATGAGGCATTTTATTTTACAATATTTTTGTATTAATTCAATCAGTTATAATTCCTTAAGTGTTATGGCGTTAATAAGGATTTCTCCATATGCGTATTTTTATGAGACATTATTATCGGCAACTTATATTCTGATATCACACAGAAAATTAAGATAGACAAAATGCAGTTAAAATTATATTTTGCTTGCGTAAGTTTGGTTTATTTGATTACGGCAAGATAACTGGAAGGCTATCTGGCTATGGGAAAGGACGCCTTTGCGGAGGAATTTCTAAGGGATACTGGCTCGTATGACTAGCTACATTTGGGGGAAAACATGAAAACAACCATGAAGATAGCACGTTCTCGGGATTCGTACCTTAGGCCGAACTACCAGTGTTCAGCCACTTGACGCTCGGCATTTGCTTGCTTAGTCTATACAATATATACATTTTAAGTCTTCTATTGTAAGGTACAATCATTAATAAGGGTGAATGAAATGACAATAGCTCATTGACGGATATTAAATTAAAGTAAATTTAATATGTTTCACGCGTTTTAATTTATTTTATGGCGATCTTCCTAACAATGCATAATGTTTTATTTTAAATCCAACCTAGCAACACCTATACCTTTTTTTTAGAATCTACACACTGTGTTTACATAGTTTAAGACTGAAAGTTTTCGGTCACTTGCAGTGGACCTGTGAAATATTAACTCATATAGTCGTAGCATAGAAAAGACTCAAATTAAAATTTTCATTGGGCTTTTTTAAAATATAAAATGTTCTATGCATTTGAAATCTGTCTGAAATTGTCCAGAGATACTCAAAACATATTTGATTGCACAAGGTCATTTTTTCTAAATATGGAATTGAACATCTTAATTTGCTTTCTGAAGCAAGAGACGTGGAAAATGGGCATTTTCCTTCCCGGAACTCGAACCTTGGACCTCTCGAATACATTTCGAGTGTGTTTCTAATTACACCCCGAAGGCATGGTTTGGATTGGTTTATTTAATTACGGCAAAGCACACTAGGGCTATCTGCCTAAGGGGAATGCCTTCGGGGAGGACTTTCTATGGGAAACTGGCTCGTATACACGTTACACATAGGGAAACCACGAAAACGCCCATTCAGCCAGCCCGTTCGGCGAAATCGAACCTCAGACCGCGACAGTGGCCGCTGGTGTGCCCCTAGGCATGGAGAAAGAAGGGAGGAAATACCTTATATATTTCCCCTTTTAAAGAGCAACTCGGAATGATGGGAACCAATCGCTAAATCCTGGTTGTGACTATTTATCCTCCATCACCTTTTAGTTCGAGTACCAGTGTAAAGTCTTTTTTTTTTTTTTTTTTTTTTTTTTTTAAAGCAGGAGACATAAAATATATGCAGTTCTTTCGCCAGAACTCAAACCCTGGACTTCCCGAATGTGCATTGATTGTGCTTCCAAGTGCACCATGAATACATGAGAAAAAAAAAAAAAAACCCTTACAAATTATTATACCACAGGATTTTGGTCAACAGGATTTTGATACCATATGCATTTGTTTATTGAATATTTTGAATATTTTTCTATTATAAAGTATTTTTTAAGTTTTTAGAGCATTCTGAGTACTTGTAGGGCAATTTATGTGGACATTTTAGAGGATTTTGAGGAATATTCCAGTAATCAAAATGAAAAATAATCTTAACCCTGAAGTTACACTGTTTCAATTCCTTTGAACCAATTTTTACTAGGCAGGCATGCCCTATCTACTGAAAACTGATAACCTATTCTGTTTGTCCTGTTTATCGCGACAGGCTTAAGGTATGAGTGTCACTTCTAAGAATTTTTCCATACCGGCATTTTTTAACTCTTTAAGAATTTTTGTGCAGAGGGGGAAATGTTATTCCACAGACACATTCTTAGAATTGCATACTCAGTACTTTTACTCAGTTCAGAGTATTTTTTAAGCTAAATTTCATTCAAACATCTGTGCGTGTTGATGCAATCATGGGATACGATAGATATTCTTTTAATGAGAATCGAAAGGTTGGTGACGCTTCTTAACTTCAATTAAATGTGATAACAGTGCTATTCATATTTAGAAAGTTATTTTCAAACTAGAAATGTTTAAACTGAGTATCATTTAAACATCATTAAACATTAGGGATTTATGCAAATATAGCGATGGAAAACTTGAATGAGCTTAGGCAACATTTTAGAAACGACCAATGGCAAAGTTTTAAATACTGTATTTGCTAAAATCAATTCTGGTCTCTAAAGCCTGTAACTTTCAAACTATGCGGAAAATATCCCTCATCTTGAAAAGAGAAGCAGACACTTTTAAGGCTAGAGAGGCGTTATCGATATGATTTTTCAAGTATGCTCTATTAGCTTCAGGAAATCTCCAGTTTCTCATGCTCTAAAACCTTATATATTCACATCAAAAGTTCTTTTACTTTTAAAAGCATCAAGAAGCACTAAATAATTTAGTGGAAGGGTAATAAGTTCGCGTGATATTGAAATTTTGGAAGAAAAAATAAAATTCAAGTGACATATATATATATATGCACTTGTTTGTGTTTCAATACATTGCCAGTTTTTGTTAATTATATCATTTTTATATTATTTTTGGTTGAATTTTATTTGTGAGGACCATTTTTCCATTTTATGTGCATTTTGTGGTCATTTTAAAGGGCATTTTGAGTGAATGTCGTCAAAATCCGAACCCCAATTATTCATACAGAAATTCTCACACTCTTAAAAATTTTCATTATTCTTTTGTTATTTAAATGCAGAATTTTTTATATCCTTCAGTGTAATATTTCAGAGATATTCGATGGCGAATTAAATACAGTAATAATCTTTTCACAGATTATTATGAAAAGTAAATTAATATATTTATCAAAT